AATTCCTTTCATTTAAAGTCAACTAAAAAGCATTTAGAAATAACTGATGACTCACTTTAAAATGTTTATTCTTTGAGCTTCCAAATGTCAAAATTCCCATAATGTTAAAGTGAGTTCAGATAATGCATATAACAGATATTAATTATTTTCATTCTCACCCTCATCTTTATTGTCTCAGTTTGAATTCAGTACCTGAGTAGTCTTTTTTTTTTTTTTCCTGGAATTTTTTCCTTACTATTTGCTAGAGAAATCAAAAGTAAATAAAGTAAAACTAACTGATTTTAACATCTCAGAAGCCTCAGTTATAAAGTAGTGTTCTATTTACAGTTTTTTGGGGGTTTTTTAATCATTAGAAATCAAATACTTTGGTCATAACAAGGAAATCCGTTCCCTTAATGAAATCTAGTGGAGTTGAAAAACATGATTTTGAGCAACTTGTTCCTTATATGTGACATGACTTTATAGAAATACTTTGAATTTTTCAAGACATTAAGATGTGTTTGATTTAAGTTGACTGCACCCTTTTATGCAGTCCCTCTTGTGATCAACAAGCTTTTTTGAGTGATACCTGTCTGGGGATAGGGGTATGTGCATAACTTAGTGCAAATATGGTACCACTTCAGTGTCATTCTTTTTGTCAAGTTTGACTTGTACAGGGCTGTGAGCCATCAAGTTTTTCCATCAGCTGAGCTAAATAGCCTAGCCTGAGGGAGTTACAGCCCAAACAAAAAAGAAATCCTGCTACAGTTGCAACATGGGTGAATTTGATTGGTCAGTGTTTATTTCTATTGGTAGCTGAACTCATTTCAGGTGTTACATCTCTTCATCCCTAGAAACTACAGGTGCTAACAAAACTACTGACATAGTTAACCTTAAATAACCCTATTTTGCCCCGTAAAATTCCTAGTACTCAAATTTGGCTAACATTGAGCGCCTGCCTCCTGAGAAATCTGTATGCAGGTCAAGAAGCAACAGTTAGAACTGGACATGGAACAATAGACTGGTTCCAAATAGAGAAAGGACTACGTCAAGGCTGTGTATTGTCTCCCTGCTTATTTAACTTATATGCAGAGTACATCATGAGAAATGCTGGGCTGGAGGAAGCACAAGCTGGAATCAAGATTGCCAGGAGAAACATCAATAACCTCAGATAGGCAGATGATACCACCCTTAAGGCAGAAAGTGAAGAAGAACTAAAAAGCCTCTTGATGAAAGTGAAAGAAGAGAGTGAAAACTCTCTTGTTGGCTTAAAACTCAACATTCAGAAAATGAAGATCATGGCATCCGGTCCCATCACTTCATGGCAAATAGATGCAGAAACAGTGGACACAGTGAGAGACTTTATTTTCTTGGGCTCCAAAATCACTGCAGATGGTGACTGCAGCCATGAAATTAAAAGATGCTTGCTCCTTGGAAGGAAAGTTATGACCAACCTAGACAGCATATTAAAAAGCAGAGACATTACTTTGCCAACAACGGTCCATCTAGTCAAAGCTATGGTTTTTCCAGTAGTCATATGTGGATGTGAGAGTTGGACTATAAAGAAAGCTGAGTGCCAAATAACTGATGCTTTTGAACAGTGGTGTCGGAGAAGACTCTTGAGTCGCTTGGACTGCAAGGAGATCCAACCAGTCCATCTCAAAGGAAATGAGTCCTGAATATTCATTGGAAGGACTGATGCTGAAGCTGAAACTCCAATACTTTGGCCACCTGATGCGAAGAACTGACTCATTTGAAAAGACCTTGATGCTGGGAAAAATTGAAGGTGGGAGGATAAGGGGACAACAGGATGAGATGGTTGGATGGCATCACCGACTCAATGGACATGAGTTTGAGTAAATTCCGGGAGTTGGTGATGGACAGGGGCCTGGAGTGCTGTAGTCCATGGGGTTGCAAAGTCAGACACGACTGAGCAACTGAACTGAACTGAGCACCTAATATATCTTGGTAACTTTGCTGGATGCTTTTTTTTTTAAATTTAAATTTATTTATCGTAATTGGAGGCTACTTACTTTATAATATTGTAGTGGTTTTGCCATACATTGACATTCATGTCAATGTATGCTGGACACTTTTATCTATGGACTGTGGTTTAATTCCCCTAACAGCTCCAAAAAAATACTGTTTTTCTTTCCTTCCTTCCCTCCTCCTTCTCCTTTCCCCTTTTTTCTTCTTTTAAATACTGTTGGGATAATTACCTTCACTTTTAAGGAGTGTAGATCTTGGGCTTTCCAAAGATTCTAAATCCTTTTGCTGTATAGTTGCTGAGGTACCTACCACTGCTCTATACTCTATATCTGGAAATGATGTTTCTGCCATTTTTTTTGTAATTTAGTCACTAAATTGTGTCCAACTCTTTTGGGATGCCATGGACTGTAGCCTTCCAGGCTTCTCTGTCTGTAGGGTTTCCCAGGCAAGAATACTGGACTGGGGTACCATTTCCTTCTCTAGGGGCTCTTCCCAACCCAGGGATGGAACCTGCGGCTCCTGCATTGACAGGTATATTCTTTACCCCAGAGCCACCTGGGAAGCCCTTCTGCCATTTACCCTTTGCCAAAAACATAGTAGCCAGCAGTCAGATCCCCCTTTGATCTACTAGTGGCAGCCAGTGGCTTATTTCACCCTTGTGAAGTCTAGTTCCTATGTCTATCCATTGTTTTGAGGAATGCATACATATATTAACATGTATATGTGTCAGCTGAGACACTGTGTTTAGGAGAGACTTCCTTCCTGATCCTAAAAGTGGACAGTATATGTGGAACGCTAGTATAATTAGAAATGTTACCTATGGTTGTAAAATTACAGTACTTTATAAAAAATCTAATCAATGGATGAAGTGACCTGGAACCATGAATGCCAGAGTTTACCTATGTGATCTTTAAAGCAGTGTCTTTTATTTATTCTGTTATGCCCTAATTTCACAAGTAGCTTGGTTAGCCTTTAGCTGAAATAAGAAATGCTTGCCTTAATATTTTTACTATTATTAGAAATTTTAATTGATCTGCCTTTTGGTGTTAGTGATTTTAGTTTTGCAAACATTAACCACCTTATTGTGAACACTGTAGTGAGGTTACGAAAATACTACCTAGGACTGCCCTGGCAGGCCAGTGGTTAGGACTCCCGTACTTCCACTGCAAAGGGCCCAGGTTCAATCCCTTGTCTGGGAACTAAGATCCCCAAAGCCACAAGGTGCAGCCACAAAAAAGAAAATACCACCTAGATTCACAGATTGTGTGGATTTAAAGTGAAAGATTTATGCATGTTTAATATATTAGATGTCTTTAAGCAATAAAGCCATGCCTTTATTAGCAAATGTGTGCTGACAGAATCACCAGTGACATCAGACATTATTATACAAATTTAGTGGGGGGGGGGGGGGTTGGGAGAAATAGGGGTGTGATTATAAACCTTCCCTAATCACAGAAATGTTTTTTGTAACATTTCTAAAGGCAAACTCTGAAGTCATATCAAGAGGTCCCTCGTGTGAAGACTTCCAAGGAGGTAAAAAGAAGTGGGGTGTTGTTCAGAGCCTGAAAGTTTTCAAAAATCATACTGTTGATCTCAGAGAAAGAGCAGTGAGCAGTCCTGAGGAGAGATCTTAGTTCCCTGCCCAGGAATTAAATCTCGGTCACCTGGATGAAAACCAAGAGTCCTAGCCACTAGATCACTGGAGCTAGAAGCTAGAAGCAAAGTGGCCCTGGCTCTTGCCCCTGTTTGAAAGCAAGAATGTTTCAAGGAGGCAAAAACTGTAAAAACAGGTACAAAGTTTATAATTAGAGACACAGCACAATGTGTGGGAGATCTCACAGGAAAACAGTTTGTTTATCCAACTCAGAAGCAGGGCAGAGATGTATACCCAGAGAGAAAGGGTATGGGCATCCTCTCTAGAAAGGAGGAGTGCAGTAAGTTAGAAACTACGCAGATACACACACTGGGAGAAGAATGTGGACGTTCTGAGTGCAGAGCAGCGCAGTATGGAGGCGATGTAAATCACCTCTGTAGGCCAGTCCTTCCAAGTCTGTTTACCCTTGGCCAGTTACCTTGTTTCTTTCTTCATACCTGACTGATCCCGTGGGGTCCTCCCCAAGATATATATGCAACCTTTTTGCTAAGCTGGATCCCACTCTAGAGGCCTAAGAGTGCATGGCCACACTTAACTGTGGGTGGGCCTCCCCCCTCCCTTTCTGACCCCCAAGAAGCCTTCCTGCACATGTGCAGACAGGGAGGCTTTCCTTGACCTCAGGACTGGGCACTTTATCTTTTTGCTCTAGCAGAGCTCAGCTTGTACCACTAGCTTTGTCCTTGGAGTATCTGAGTGAGAACAAAGCTTGAATTTTATTCCACTTGACAAATACCAGGTATCCAGCCCAGAAGCCCACTGTCTCCTGCCTCACTATTATGGTGGCCATAAATGTACTTTTTTTTTTTTACTTTAAGCATTTCTGTTTTGGAAACATTTGTTGGTAATGTTTCTATCTAAAACAAAGATTTTCGTTTTCTTGTGGTTTTTATGCCCTGATGAAAACATTTCTGAGACAGACATTGTATTTGGGAGATATCCTCATCATAGCTTTAGGTTATTCAGATATGAAATTCCTATATTAGAGATTGAACTACAGTCAAAGCACACATGATCAGGTAATCTCCAAGTTCTGACACCTACCCAGGGCATTGAATCCTGGAAACAGCTACCTGATACCAAGCCAGAAATGTCTTTTTTTTTTCAAATCCCCATAAGGGATAGAAGATACTCTCCAGGAAGCAGATAGTCACCTGCAGCAGCAGGGACAGGACATGTCCCCGATACTGTATCACTGCCTTCTTGTCACACTGCAGGCAAAGAATGTGACATCACTTCAACCTTGGCAGTCTCTGGCCATTTCTTTTGACCCCGACCTTCAGTTCAGTCACTCAGTCGTGTCCGACTCTTTGCGACCCCATGGACTGCAGCACGTCAGGCTTGCCTGTCCATCACCAACTCTTGGAGCTTGCGCAAACTCATGTACATCGCGTCGGTGATGCCATCTAACCATCTTATCCTCTGTCGTCCCCTTCTCCCACCTTCAATCTTTCCTAGCATCAAGGTCTTTTCAAATGAGTCAGTTCTTCGCATCAGGTGGCCAAAGTATTGGAGTTTCAGCTTCAGCATCAGTCCTTCCAATGAATATTCAGGACTCATTTCCTTTAGGATGGACTGGTTGGATCTCTTTGCAGAGACTCTCTGCAGAGAGAGTCTTTGCAGAGAGTCTTTGCAAGGGACTCTGAAGAGTCTTCTCCGACACCACAGTTCAAAAGCATCAATTCTTCGGCACTCAGCTTTCTTTATAGTGTCCAACTCTCACATCCATACATGACTACTGGAAAAACCATAGCTTTAACTAGATGGACCTTTGTTGGCAAAGTAATGTCTCTGCTTTTTAATATGCTGTCTAGGTTGGTCATAACTTTCCTTCCAAGGAGCAAGCATCTTTTAATTTCATGGCTGCAGTCACCATCTGCAGTGATTTTGGAGCCCAAGAAAATAAAGTCTCTCACTGTTTCCATTGTTTCCCCATCTATTTGCCATGAAGTGATGGGACCGGATGCTGTGATCTTAGTTTTTTGAATGTTGAGTTTTCAGCCAGCTTTTTCACTCTCCTCTTTCACTTTCATCAAGAGGCTTTTTAGTTGTTCTTCACTTTCTGCCATAAGGGTGGTGTCATCTGCATATCTGAGGTTAGTGATATTTCTCCTGGCAATCTTGATTCCAGCTTGTGCTTCCTCCAGCCCAGCGTTTCTCATGATGTACTCTGCATATAAATTAAATAAGCAGGGTGACAATATACAGCCTTGATGTACTCCTTTCCCTATTTGGAACCAGTCTGTTGTTCCTTGTCCAGTTCTAACTGTTGCTTCCTGACCTGCATACAGGTTTCTCAGGAGGCAGGTCAGGTGGCCTGGTATTCCCTTCTTAGACTGACCTTAGACTGAGGAAAACACCTCTCCAACTGAAGCTGTGTTTTAAGTAATGGTTAGTAGAAAGAAGGGGCCTCCATTATGACTCAGACAGTAAAGAAGCTGCCTGCAGTGCAGAGGACCCAGGTTCGATCCCTGGTCGGGAAGATCCCCTGGAGAAGGGAATGACTACCCACTCCAGTATTCTTGCCTGGAGAATCCCATGGAAAGAGGAGCCTGAGCCTTAGCCTGGAGGGCTGCAGTCCATGGGGTCGCAGAGAGTGGGACACAACTGAGAGACTAATACTTTTCACTTAGAAACAAACACCCCCCAAAGTGGTATCAGAGGTTGGATTTGAGCAGAATTGTAAGTGATAATCAACTTTTTCTAAAACTTGCAATGAGAAAACTGTGTCCCAAAGGTGATTGTTAGCTAAAACATTGTAATAAGAAGAGAAATCCATGGAGTCCTCAGAATAATAGGCAGAGATCAACACAAAGGTGACTGTTCTGCTACGTTCCTGGTTAAGCAAGCTTTGTAGACCCACTAGGAACTTAACTACCATTTCCATGGGAATATTAATCCCAGGCTCCAAATAGTTAATTTACAGTGATATTCTGCAACACAATCCATTAATAAGTTTGGACTTCCTGTGCTGTAATATCTTTGCCATATTTGTTACAGGCTGCCAGAATTCAAGTAAGGATGGGGAAGGGGGGTGGTGGGAAATCCTCTCATTCAATTAAAGTAAGGAATAACCATTAACACGATTTAAACAGCTTGATTTAAATTCAGGTAAAGGAGATTTTTGAAGCTATAAAATGATGAGGCCAGTTGTAGTGCACCAGTAAGAAGAAAAGACTTCAGTCAATAAAAATTGTACTGTTTATCTACATACCCTCATGTTCCTGTTGTATGCCTGTTTGAGTGCTGTATGGTCCTATAGTAGTTATTTGCATTTTGTTTTCTTCTTAAGGAAAACTGGAAAGAGAAATGAAGACACAGATGTAGGTAAAATTTTACTAAAATTATGTAACCTAGTCTCCTGCTATTAGCCTGATGCCCTTTTACCCCACAGAGCAAGCCCTGGCCATTCCTGTCATGATGCCTCCGTTCTCAGGTCTGCCAGTTAAGTCCCACTCTGCCCTGATGCTTTGCTCACAGTCTTGTTTCGGAAGCCTTCTGGTGGCAAGCTGCATGTACCTTATTCTTACCCTAGTGCCTTGAGTTGTTTTCCAGAACTGCCCCGCCCCCCCCGCACCGACCCCACCCCGATATGTGTTCTTTTGTGCAGGAGGAGCTGCAGTAGTTTAAGAGGTTAGTCTCTAGGCTAGGCTATATGGTTTAGAAACTTGGCTCCACCATTTTCCTTGGTAGTATGACCCTGGGTGAGCTACTTAGGCTCTCAGGGATAATAATAGTACCTACCTCATTGTGTTGTGAGGATTACAGGGCATGATGCACAAGGCGGAGTCTTAGTGCCATGTGGAGGTCAGCTGCTCCCTGGTTGCTTGCCAATAAACATCTTACAGGCAGCACAGCCCAGGGTCAGGGAGGGCTGTTTTGTTTGTGTTTTGTTTTTAAACATTACCAAGACAGTGGACTTAGCAGTGCTAGTCACAAGTTGAATTAACTCAGTACAGAAAAAGAAAAGGACTATGATTATGGCATACAAAATATCTACACCACAATACCTACAAAAACAGTTGACTCTTTTTTCTCAATATTCAGATAGTTGATAGTCTGCAGCAAAGAATTTTAAGGTTAGCTGAGATCTGGGTGTCCTTCAGACTCATTCAAGGTCTTAAAAACTGTAAAATTAAATACAGGAAGAATATAGAAGAGAAATAACATGACAAGTTTATGCCTTTTCATTAGCTGTTCTAAAGAGAATGTGAGCTTCTCAGCCATGTCCGACTCTGCAACGCCATGGACCATAGCCCACAAGGCTCCTCTGTCCATGGAATTCTCCAGGCAAGAATACTGGAGTGGGTAGCCATTCCCTTCTCTAGGAGATCTTCCCAACCCAGGGATTGAACCTGGACCTCCCACATTGGAGGCAGATGCTTCACCATCTGAGCCACTAGGGAAACCTGTTCTAAAGAGAGAGAGATGCATTTAAATTTCAACATGAGATCTTGAAGAAGACTTTTCTGACAACAAGACATGGAAAGGTTTATGAAATATCTTTAAAACAAGTCACCCCACAAAAAAAAAAAAAAAAAGAAGGATGTGTTTGACATGTATTTCCAATGAAATGTTTAATAGGGCATGTACTAGTTCATTGTTTAAAATGTACCTACAGTGTTAAATAGTAGACAAACTGGGGGGTTTAGATCAGAAAACCACATGTGAATCCCAGAGCTAATATTTATTTACTAGTTTGTCTACTACAAACCAAGACGGTTTCCCCAGCCCCTCAAGCCTTGGTGCCCTCATTCTCAACACGACTGATTGAATAAGATGATTGACAGACCATGTATAGTACACTGTGTGACATGTAGCAGCCACTCCGCAACTGTCCACTTCCATTTTTGTCCCTGAATTCATAGAACGTGCCTGGACTTAAGGTAGGATTTTAATTAGAAAACTGTAAAAGAAGATCTTGCTCTAGAAGCCATTCCTAAAGTACTGAAGAACAAATACCTAATTAGAGCCCTACTTACATAATTTCCCTGGTGGCTCAGATGGTAAAGAATCTGCCTGCGTGCAGGAGACCTGATGGGCTACAGTCCATGGGGTCACAAAGAGTCGGACAGGACTGAGCAACTTTCACTTTATTTTCACTTACATATTTACTGTTTTCTTGCATGATTTGTGCGAGATTTCTCTTTTTGACTAGTTATTACTGCTTTTGACAATTATTTTTTAAAAATATGATCGAACTATATTTTTTCACAAGAAGAGGCTCAACCAACACAAAACCACAAGTGTTTATTCAGGTAGCCATGTTCCAGGCAGCTATGCATTTCCCTGGCACTTGGCTCTAACAGAAAATGATGATGGGGGAGTTCCCTGGTTGTCCAGTGGGTAAGACTCTGTGCTCTCAATGCAGGGGACCCAGGATCCATCCCTGGTCAGGGAACTAGATCCCACATGCCACAGCTAAGAGTCTGCATGCCACAGTAAAGATCTCAAAAGCTGCAACTAAAACCCAGAGCAGCTAAAAATAAATTAAAAAAATTTTTTTAAATGATCACAAGTCTTGTTCAGAGTATTGCATGACAGAGTGGCGAGAGACCTCACCTCAACTCTGTGGCATAGAGTGTTTACAAGAGGGAACTTAAGAAATCAGTTTGGCAGCTTATGACCTACTGGAGAGAATGGTGATATAGAAGAGAAAATACCCAAAGTCATTGTGGTTGATGTATTATTTCACAAAAAGATTCTCTTCAGTTACAGATGCACGTATCCATATTTTTATGGTGGATTAGGGACAAAAAATTGAAGAAATACTGGTGTATCTTATGAGGCTGACATTTGTAGCGTCCTGCAGTAGTTAAATAGTGAGCGAACCAGTCCCCATCCTCACTCGCTTTATAGGCTTAGCACAGGATAAGGGTTTGCACTGACCTGGTTGAGAAGAACTTGGAGACCACTGGGCTTAAAAATATTTTAAGTTCCCCACCCCCCACCTCTGGCTCAGCTAGTCTGGTCTGTGGTAGATTTGTTGGCTGATAAGAACATCTGACCCTGGATAGGTTATCTCATAAAAATACAGTTTAGCCATGCAGTTTTGCTTGCCATACCTCAACGACACCAAGGAGCCAGGGTGTGGTCAGAAGAATGAAAGAGAACCTGGGAATGCTAGGTCTTTGCTGAGAAAAATCAACTGAACAGGCTTGTGATTCAAGTCAATGAAGAATTAGATCAGCTGAACATTAAATTGCTTACCTATAAATCAAAGATAACTGGAATCTCAAATGAGGTGTTTATGACTAAAAGGAAGTTGTTTTTTTTTCACACAGCAGGTTCTGACTGTATAGAACTTGATTCAAAAGATGGGATTTATTGCAAAGGTTAATTTCCTAACAGTCAAAAGTAAGAGACAGCTAGAGTTGGTTAACCTTCTCAGTTAGTGGCTTATTTATTGCACGCTCAGTGGGCACAGTAGTTGGTTAGGTTCTGTAGGGAAGTGAAAGAAGAGACGGATATAATTCACAGTTGTGAACTTAGGATCTAGTTGCAGAGGTAGATAATATCCAGGAAGCCCTTGGAGAACAAGCAAGATCTCCTAGTAGGGAATGGAAGGGGCTGAACAAGAAGAGGAGGCTGCCTTGGGTTTTTGTGGGGGATCCATCCACCTGAGTAGCCCAGGGAACTCTGGCTGCTCTCAGAACTCTGAGCCTCTCCCACGCCTTCTAAAAACCAGTGAGAATGCTTGTGTAGATTTAAGGAGAACTGTGGACAGCTCTACCA